TTCTCTGGGCCTGGCCTCCAGCCAGTTCTGAAGCCAGAAAAGAGTGCTCCTGTCCAAGCCGTGGGCTGCAGCTTTTCCAGGGAATGCTGTGGCTCTCCGTGTCCAAGGCCTTGCTGAAGTCCAGCTAGACGCATCCAGAGCCTTTCCTACACCCATCAGGTGGGTCAGGTGGTTATAAAAGGAGATCAGGTTGGTCAGGCAGGACCTGCCCCTCCTAAAGCCACACTGGCTGGGTCTGACCCCTGGGCCATCCTGGAGGTGCCATGGGATGGCACTCAAGGGGATCTGTTCCAAAACCTCCCCAGGCACCGAGCTCAGGCTGACAGGCCTGCAGTTCCCCAGAGCCTCCTGCCAGCCCTTCTTGGGGATGGGCTCACACTGGCACCTCCAGTCCTCTGGGACCTCCCCAGTGAGCCAGGACTGATGAGAAGAAATGATGGAGTGCAGCTTGGGGAGCTCATCCACCAGCTCCCTCATCCCCCTAGCATGGATCCCATCCGATCCCATCCACCTGTGAGCATCTGAGTGGCTCAGCAGGTCTCTGACTGCTTCCTCCTGGATTACAGGGGGCTGTTCTGCTCTCTGTCCCCATCTACCAGCTCAGGAGAACACTTGTCCTGAGGAAAACCTGTCTTATTTTTGAAAACTGAGGCAAAGAAGGGGTTAAGTACCTCAGCCTTTTCCTCATCATTTGTAACCATATTCCCCCCAATTAGGAATGGAGGTTGTTCCTTTTGCCATTAATGTATTTATAAAAACATATTTATTATCCTTCACAGAAGCAGCCAGGTTACGCTCTAATGGAGCTTTCACCTCTCTACTTTTCATTCTTCATGACCTAACAACTTCCTTAAACATTTCCTGAGTTGCCTGCCCCTCTGTCCAAAGGTGATGCACCCTCATCTTTTCCTTGAGTTCCTCCAAAAGCTCCCTGCACAGCCAGGTCAGTTGTTTTCCTCGCTAGCTCATTTTTAGTCACAGAGGGACAGGCTGTTCCTGCTCCTTCAAGACTTTTTTCTTGAGTGTGTCCATCCTTCCTAAAATCCTGTGTTTTAAAAGGTTGTTTCCCTTAAAAAAATCAGTACCTGATTTGATACTTCCCAAATCTGCATCCTTAATTGTCTGAAGTCTGTTCTTCCTAAGTCCAGTGTAGGAGTTGTGTTGATGCCCCTCCTTCTTTCACAGAATATTTCAAAACTCAATGATTTCATGGCCACTGTACCCCAGGCAGCCTCCAACCACCACATCCCCCAGCAGCCCTTCTCTGTTTGTGAACAGCAGGAGACACAGCTTTCCTTGGCAGTGGCAAGAGAAGGAAACCTCCCCAAAGTGCAGCTTGGCAGGTTCAGCCTGGACAGGAGGAGAAAGAGAAGTCCCTGCCAGGGTAGAATTTTGGTGCAGGAGGTGTCCCAGCGTGAGACTGGACCATGCCATGGTTGTGTGTGCCAGGAGCCATCAGTCAGTGCGGCCCAGGGATGCTCCAAGGGACTTGGAGTTTTGCTTCTGACTCCTTGAGTAGCTTCTTCAACCTTCTCTCAGAGCCTGAGGGTCCTAGACTCAGCCCCAAATCCAGCCTGGGGTTCATTAAAATACAGAAAGCCTCGGGGGCTCTTTCTCTTCCTTCCACTGTCTTCAAGTCCAAGGCTTGTGCAGCTGCTTGGAGTCAGTTTGGAGTTCTGTTAAGGAGGTAGAGTTGAAAATCCACTACATTTTTTTTCTTTCAATGAAGGGCATTTTTTTTTTATTTTGTAGTTGAGAGAAGAGGTGACAGAAGCATTCCCCAAGTGATCTTGATGCTGAATGTCTCCTTACGAGGTCTGGTCACGGAGAAGAATGAGCCCCTTGCGGGCTGCCCCTCTTTGGACAACCTCTTCCTCACCCCGAGTCTCAGTATGTCTGACATTGCCCACCTTGGACTGACATCCCAAAACATTGAAAACATTTATCAATTTTTATTTATCATTAAAATCTAATTAATTAATATAAAATCTTAATTTTTACAATAATATTATTCTGTATTTTTATAACCTAATTTTTATATTTACATAAAAGAATTGATACATTTTTAGCAACTAAAAACATTATTGGTCTTTTGTTCTAAGTACCACATTTCCCTTCATTAATTAATTGACCACAATTTCTCCCTCTTTATGCTAATTAGTCCTATGTTTAGTCCTTTGATTATCATTTTTATCATTTTCTCAGACAGGGTAAAAGGGACCACTTTGGGGTACACGGAGACTTTTCTAGGGAACATTTGGGGCAGTTTTGGGTTTGGGGAGGGAATTTTGAGAGAACCTGGGTGTCTGGAGGACACTTGGGAGAGCCGGGTGGGCACTTGGAGGAGCACGTAAGGATTCTGTGGGAAAATTCGGGGTCCAGGGGGGACTTGGAGGTCACGGAGGGGAATCTGGGGGCCCTTCGGGGTCCGGGCGGGCGCTTGAGGGACTGTTAACAGGGCTCTCTGGGCCGCGGGGGATGATGGGAGTTGTAGGCGCCGGTATAATGTGGTTTATTGGGGCTGCGGAGCATTACGGGAGTTGTAGACGCAGCTTCAATGGATTCCGGTGAGGCGTGAGGCATGACGGGAGATGCAGTCCCGGCTGGAATAGCGCTGTATGGGCGCCGCGGAGCATGATGGGAGGTGTGGTCCCGGAAGTGGCTCGGAAGGCGCGTTTGGCCGTGCGTGGAGGTACTTGGAGAACACTTCTGCGTCTGAGCCGTGGCTGCAGGTCCTCGGGGTGAATGTATACGGCTCGGGAGCACTTGGGGGGAGCCTGGGGAGCTCTAAGCGGGCTCTTTAGGGCGCGGGGCACGGCAGGAGGTTTGGGTGCGGAACTGTGTTCTACGATGATGGGAGATGAATTCCCAGCAGTGTCTGGACGGGGCGTCTGTGGGGTCGGGAGCATTCAGGGATCCAGGGACGCTTTGGGGAGTTCCGAACGGGCGCTGAGGGGGCACTCAGGGATCCTGGAGGGTCTGAGGGACACTTTTGGGACATATGGGATGCAATCCCGGGGTTCTGGGGAGTGCAGAGCATATTCCCAGTCCCTCGCAACCTGGTCTCAATTGCCTGATGCAGGCTCCTACTCACTGCCAGTATCATCCCAGTATGATATCCCAGTATGATCCCACTATGATGTCAGCCAGTGCAACCCTAGACACTGCGAGTTCGATCCCGGTACAAACCAGTCCCTGCCAGTGCTGCCAATCCTGGGATCCCCCAGCCCTCTCTGTGTTCCCCCCTCCAGCATCTCCCCAGAGGAGCCCCAAGGGCTGGCAGTCCCCAGCCAGGGTCCCCAGTCCCAGTTTGGATCTGCAGCCCCCAATTTTCCCAGTTTCCTTCTCCTTTTCCCCAGGCCGGGTTCCCCCCACCCCCAGCGGGTGTGAGCAGCTGAGAGCCCCGTGGTGCCCATCCTGACCTGTCCTGGCTCCATCCCTGCTCCTGCCGTGGGCTGTGAGGGGTTTGGGAACAGGGCACCAAGGGTGTTGCTGCTTCTGGGGGAGGAGGAGGAGGGAGGAGGAGGGCTGGAAGAGGAGGGATGAAGAAGGAGAGTGAGAAGGGATGGAAGTAGGAAAAGGAGGTGGAGTTAGGGAGGAGAAGGATGATTAGGGATGGAAGAGGAGGAGCGGGAGGAAGAAGAAGTGGAGGGACAAAGGAAGATCATGGAAAGGAGAAGGAAACACGAGGTCGAGCACTCCCTGAATTCACAGCCCCTCACCCATGGGATCCCACCCATGGGATCATCACCCCCCGTCCCAGAAATGACCGGGGAGGGGGAGCTCAGCCCAGATATCCTGGGGGGTCCCTGGGTTGGGTTTTTTGGGGGGGGATGATTGGAGAATGAAGAACTCCGAAGCTGAGCAGAAAATGCCCCTTGGGGGGACACTGGGGGGTCCTGGTGGCAGCTGCTGGCAGAAGCAGCCTGGAGGAGCAGAGCCTTGTGACCCCCAGGACCCCAAAGTGGGGAGCCCAGAAAGGGAGAGCACCTTGATTAGCAGGAACCTCAACAGTCTGGAGAGGGACAGGGGGGACTCCTTGGACCCCCTATACTCCAAAGCAGAGAATAAGGGGAGAAGGGACCATAGGAATCCAAAAAGCCCCATCATCCCTAAATGAGGAGATGGAAACGGGGGAACTTTATGGATTCCTGGTACTCCCAGTAGCCTGGGGTGGGCAGGGACTGAGCAGACAGGGGAACCCCAGTGCAAGCATGACCCACAGCAGATGAGACAGGGAAGAACCCCTGAACACCAAGTCATCACGGAATGGGAGAATCAAATTCTCATTTGACGGGAGAGACCAGAGATGGGGAACTTCTGGGAGGCATTTTCAGGGCTGAATCTTGGTGTTTGGGAGGTTTTAATGGGCCCCAGATGCCCAGTGACTTCTAGAGATGGACTTTGGTCGAGGGACCTTCAAATTGAATGTACTCTTCCCCTGTTTTACCCAAACCAGGATTTCCTATTCCCAAATCTTGGCCAGATGGAGAAGGAGGCTGCATGGAGGAGGAAGATGCCGCAGGCAGGTGAGGAGGAAGTCAGTGCCCCTTTCCCCCTCTCTCCTGCTCCATCTCCCAGCCCAGCATGGCCCCTGGCTGCAGGACAACCCCGCTGCCGATGCCGTCCTGTTGGGGACACACTTGGGGGATCTCCTTCCCCTTCCCTCTGGCACGGAGGCAAATCCCATCCTCTCCTTGTCCTTCCTCCCCCAGACAAGGAGCTGAGGATGGAGACCAGGGAGGACAAATCCCCACGGCAGAACCTCGTGGAAGAGGCGGTTTTGAGCAGCTCCATGGTGAAGGAATCCAACGGGCAGGAAAAGCCTGTGAGATCCTGCAGGAGGAGGGGCTCCAAACCCAGCCCAGGGTACTCTGAGGAGGAAAGACCCACCCTGTGCCGGGAAGGCGGCCAGAGATCCAGCCAGGGCTCTGAGCTGGTGGTCCATGAGCAGCTTCAGGATGGGGAGAAGCCCTACAA